TTTTAATACTTATATAACATCTCCCAGTTCCTGGCTGTTATCTTTATGAGGGAGGGGTTGTTGCAAAACATGGAGAAATTCAAATAATCATACACCGCAATGATAATCTATTCTATATTAAGAGCTAGAAATCATTGATTGGAATAAACATCATGGGGTCGTGAATTGCTTGGATAAAGTTCATTTGTAATGATTAGTGAGGAAGCACTAACTAAAATATGAGTAGTATATTTGGTCTAGGTGCTATTTAAAGAGTAACTCAGATACAATTCTCCGACCTTGGATGGTAGGGAAGCGACATGAGCGGCTGAAACACCACACACACAGTGTCTTGAAATTCAGAAAATTAAGGCAACCGTCCTGATTATACAATTTACCAGCTATGTGATCTCGGGTAAATCAGTTTAACTCCTCCCAGCTTAATTTCATTATGCATGAAATGTCAATAGAAAGCTTGGTTATGGGGAAGGGCTATTACAAGGATCCCTTCAGCCATGCCTGGGGTGGCTCAGTGGGGCGCCTGACATACAGCAAACTGAAAGGTCGCCGGTCCGATCCCCAGACCTGACCCAGAGTCTGGCACACAGTGAACACACAATACACATGCATCACATAAATAGAAGCAACAGTAGGGAAAATACCATTCTTACCACTCGTTTTTGCCGAAAACATGGGGGCTGGGGATAAAGCTCAATACAGAAGTAGGGCAGAGATGGGGGAGGTAAACAGAAGGAGGCAAGAATGATGAGTGCGACTCCTTCCCTCAAAGACAAGCAGAGGTTTGTGAAATCAAAATTTAAAAACAAAAGCTAATCAAATCGAGCAATCCCAAAGTCTACCCTCTTTCTCTCCCCGACCCATTCGTCCCCCCTCTCAACACAGGGTCACACCACTGACTTTTTTTTTTAAGATTGCCTCTGGGCATTCACCTCATTAATTGCAGTCAATGTTCAACCATCACATTCAGTGATTTCACTGAGAGGCAAGTAGGCCCTCTCTTTGGTCATTAGAAACAGTGCTGTTTTTAATTTATATTGGCTGAAACAAGTTGAAAGTCCTCTCCGCTCCATTTTCCTTTCTTTGCTCCTAGCCTCTCCAAAGGCCGGATTGGCTGTGGCGAAAGACAACAGACAGCAGGGGCGGCTCCAGAGGAAAATCAGCTCAGTCCTTCTTCTACTCCAAACCCTGAAGTGATTCTAGCTACAGGATAGAGGCCTGGTCGAAAATGCATCTCTTTCCGAATTGCCCTTCTTCAGTTTTATAGATGTGCTCCACCACACATAGGAATTTCATTTCAATGTTTTTCTCCACCACCGAGGGCAGGGTTTTGCAGTTCTTTGGGGAACAGATAACACTCAAATGTCAGCTCAACTGAAGAACCATGTTATTCCCCTGGAACACCATGTTCTTGGTACGAGATAGACTTTGGAAACACCCCAAACCACATGTCCTTTAGGCGATGCAGACAGGTCACAAAATTAAATCTGTGTAGTCTGGCCAAACACCTTTCACCTTCTCCTAATAAGTTTGAATTAATTGATAGCTTCACCCTCCCACCAGCCACACTTGTTACTGCCAATTCAAACTGGTTTTACCTGGGTTCAGAGAAAATTCACCTATTTTTGCTTTTACACAGACAACTGACAAGAACAAACAAAGGCATTTGTGTCTATAAAGAGCAATGCAGTAGTAAGACTTCGAACCTTGCAGCTTACAGATGATTAATGAGATAATGTGTAACACGTATTTGAGCTACACGTGCGAAAGGCTCTATAAAGATAGAAAATACGATAAACAATGCAGGAAACCATTGCGTCCGGAGACCTGCCTTCTGGAGGACTTAATAAGCATTAAATAAACATTCTACAAACATGTACCTGCTAATCTTACCTTCCGCTGCCAGCCCAGGTAGGTTGAAAAGTGCTATTATTCCCATCAATAAGTATCTTGGTTTCTAATGAAAGATTTTTCAAGGAAATTGCAACAGGGACCACAACTATTAAGCAACGCCTTCTCATTAAGCTAAGCTTCCAACTTCAATTTCAGCTCTTGGTCAATCTAAGGAATTTGAAAGCACAAATCCTAGCTCCCTCCAACGTTCCACTCAATTCAAGCTAAATGCATCCATGCAGAATTCTCTCACTATCCTAAATTGAGAAAAATCATGAAGCACACCCTCTCTGGAGTTCTTGAATCATCAAAGTACAACTAAAGTTCTTAAGAGTGACCACATAATGGACTTCAATAACTTAAGAGCTCAATTCAATTACCTACACCCCTTAATCTGTCCCTTCATTCAAGTTTCTTCATTTAAAAGTACACAAAACCTTTTTTTCTTCCAACGGCATTTTGGATTCCTAACAATTATAAACAAAGAAACTATGTTTTTTCATAAACTCTACAAAACAATAAAGCAGACACAAAATTTAGCAAAAAATTTTCTGACGGGAACTTCAAACACATTTGACAAACACTCTTCTTGCATGCTCCTAAATGCCAATAAATCTCTCACTTATGTGCTTAAAATCAGCCAGCATTTCATTCCTCAGAACCTTACTTGAAAACAAGCCATTACCTCCTTGAACTCACCCCATTTTCAACTTTTTCTGGAATCATATAGTCACAAAGGTTCTATGAGAAAAATCAGGCAGTCTCAGAGCTGGGAAGAACTTAAGACACGCGATCTGATTTAGCCTTTGCCTATAGACAGGTGAGTTTAATTTAAAATTAACAAGGATGCTGTGGACCATGGGCCATGCGTGGCCTTCTAGGATATATGCAAAGTGATAAAAGACAACTCCTTGACCTCAAAGGAATTTACAGACAAGCTATCAGTTGAGGGAGAAGGGTCTAATTGTAAAAAGGAGCATTTCCAAGTTCTACCTCAGCCTTACTGATTCAGAAAGTCTAGGGGTAGAGTCCAGGAATTAATATCTTAAAAAGCATCCCAGGTAATTCTTATGCACAAAAAAACATTTGAAAAACACTACTTCAGTACATCCGAGAGATATGCACAAAAGAATAGCAGTAAGAGAAATGCTGAGCATGGGCTAAATAGGGGCCCTGTCTTCTAGGGACATAAAAAATATTTGATCAGCATCTTCCATCATTAATGCCAGGTATTAATCACAAAACATTGATTCATCTCTCAGTCCTACCCGGACATTCTTCTAAATTATATTCACCACTAAGTTAAATTGTGAGCTACCAATTTTATACTAGAAACCCTTAGTGTGGAAAACTAAAATCTCTAGTGATCTACCATTCTTCCTAAAATGCCTAATTCGCTTGACATTAAGTTTGATTTCAGTTGGCTCACGAACCACACATTTTAGCTTATTTTCTTCCCATGCCAGTAGTGTTCGTAAGGAATAGTGATTTTCGTAATTTTTTCCCTTGACAGAAATAACCAAAAAAAAACAGTTAAAAATCTTTTAAAAGTTGAATCCAGAAGCATGTGTGACATTCATATGTTAAGAAAGCAGACTCCTAGCAGAATTAGCCAGCTCACACAGATTCTGTAGAAGCCCTGACACATTGTGTACAGAAAAACCACCTGGGGAATGACTATCAATGTGGATTGCAGGAGCGTCTGACTTGGTAAGATAGGTAACTGAGTTTTCAACAGATACGCAGCTGATTCTGATGTGAACGGTTCTGAGAAAACATTCCAGGGATTTCAAGATTTCAAGAATCCAAGCTCATACCTGTAATACCCCTTAAGTTTAAATCGATATATTAAACACCGTAGGTTGTCAATACACGAATATTTAACTAAGGTAATAACACAAAGGAACAAATAAGGAAAGTCTGTTCACCTAATGATAACACACATTGGGTAAGTCAGAGCTGTTTATCATAAATTACTTCCTCCTGGATTAGGAGTCGCATGTAATAAAAAAGCAACCTAATGTAGGCTTTTCCTATTATTTCTTTTAGAGAGCACATAAAATTTTCTAATTACCTTTTAATATTAAAAATATGTTGAACAATGTGGTAGAAGGCAAGGAGGAAAGCTGAGCGAGAACAGAATAAGTGCGCATTCTATGGCCAGCAGCAATAATCAGAGAAATATAATTCTAAAGATCATATAAAATAAAACCAAAGAAGTTTGACTGTTCCTGATGTGAGAACTGTAATTTCCCTATTCCCATGGGAATGAATTGTGGACAAATATTATGCTATTATCTGGTTACTAATAACTCACAGAGAACTGGGATGTTCTCAACCTCACTTCCTTGGCAGGGACCAGAATACAATCAGATTCTAGGGTTGGGAGCTGTCTGTGAGTCCAGGAAGCATAGTTTATATGTTTATATAACATGTTCTTTCTCAAATAGTCCATGAACCTGTAAAAGGCACCCTGGCTTATTACTTAATTAATGACCACATGACCTTGAATAAGTTATTCGCCAACCCCCAGAGACTCAGTTTTCTCAGCTGTGAAATGGGTAGCTAGGTCAATCTGGACTCATGGTTCTAGCTCTTTGCACTCAGCCATGATGCTCCCCACACCACAGTGGCTCACCTGGCTTTATGTGAGAGCATCACATCAGATCATTTTTATATAAGAGTGCTCTATAAGCTGTAAAGCACTCTTCAGACGAAGCGGATTATTAGTGTTTTATGAAGCCCAACTGTAAAGATGCAAAGTGACCCAGAAAAAAAAAGCAGGGTAGACAAACCTGAAATACAACATCTACAGTGCCTAGAACATTACTCTGTACGTGGTAGGTAGGAGATTAGTCAGTACTGAGTGAATACAGAAACACACAAAAACCAGGTTTGTGTCCCTACCAGACTAGGTATGATACCGAAAAGGAATCGAGATATCTAAAATCAAGGACAGTTTGACTCAACCATACAAGCCACAATGCCCAAAAGCTTAGATCTTAAATTAAAAATTACTTGACATGAATATAAAGTATGAAGTATAAAATATCACATATTAAAATATAAAGTATAACCCACAATCTCCAAAGAAATGGCCATATTCTTACCTTTTCGGTCTTTCAGATGTAGTCTTGCAGGGATAGAAGAATCTCGGTGAGGTTGCGGAATTTTTCCCCTCTATCTGCTAGTAATCCTAGTAAATTTATAATTGTCCTAGTAAACTTACAAGGGAATAATAAATTCTATAGAATGTTGGGTACCTCCACTCTGTTTTGGATCTGGAAATCTGACTTCTAGTGACACCCTAATTTTAAGCACGCCAGATTTATCCCCTAAAGCTCTCCCCTAAACATACACACAAAAGAAGACTGGAGCTCAGGTGAGGAGGGGGTGCGGTGGGGTGGGGTGGGGTAAGAAATAAATTATTTACTTTATAAAACAATTCTTTATGAGTCCTTTGTCCTTTTCCTAGAAAAGGAAAATGTGCCTCAAATTTAAATACTAAAATTACATTACGTACCACTTTTGACATAGCTATCTGTAGAATGAGGCAAACCCATACTGAGAAATAACAAATTCAAACATTTTCTTCCCAGTGGGCCTGAACTGCCCCCCTTTCCCACTGCGTATTTTTACGCAGAGTATCATTTCCAAAACAGGGGTGAGTTTTTTCTATTGTTAAAATGAAACAAACAAGTTTGCTTTCAGAGTCACACAAATGTCCAACTGTTAGGGAAAAAAAAAACGTTTTCCACTGGCCGCTTGCCTCTCCTGTCCCCAAGCAACCTTTCCTATTGGCCCCTTTCTTAGGGAGGTCCCCTGGGGCTGTGTGGTGGAACTGAATTTTGTGCAGCGAGAACTAGTTTCCCCAAAATCTCAGAGACCACCCCTAACGTGGCCTGTGCTTGGCAAATGTGTACGTTCCCTCAGTACGCTGAGTAACTGACCCGCGTTTCTGGGTCTTTACTTGAAAAATAAAATAGATGCGGACAAATGTTTTAAAGACGAGAAAAGGAAGAAAATCTATTCAAAATTCATTTTGTAAATTGGTGTTTGGGGAAGGGGCAGGACAAGGAAATCAGTGCAACGACCTCAACCAAGCGAAACCATCCAAAACGTGCAAAAGCGTTTCAACTCTGCGTGGAAGGAGTAAGCACTCGCTACGGGCTCGCTCGCAGGAAAACCCGGCGCTTCACTCCCAACACTTCCCAGAGTGGCAACTGTCCCCTGCGCAGACACTGGGGCCGGGAAATCTTGGAGCGAGGTTGCGGTGGCAAAGGGAAGCATGAGCTCCGAGAGACCAGGCCCTGGCTTCCCTCATCCTGCTGGTTCCTCTCTCCCCACAGCCATACTAGGTGCTCAATAAATGCTTGTGGGACGCAGGGAGAGAAAAACCCGAATCAGCCCCCACACCTCAAGGGTGAATTCTCCGGAACGCAGCTTTCCTCTGACCTAGTCTCGTCACTTTAGCGGAGGTCAATCGGCCTCGGCGGCTACGGCCCCAGCAGCAGGATAGCAAACAAGAAGGAGAGCCGCCGGAGCCAAAATGGAGAGGAAGCCGGAGAGGGAGTGAGGCAGCGTGGGGCGCTGGCCCCCGGGGGCCACCTGACGGCCGCTGAGACCGGCGCTTCCAGTGACACGGGGGGCCGGCGCAAAGGGCCGGCCCAGGCCAGGGTCCGCACAAGACCACCCCGGGGAGCCGCGGCCCGGGGAGGAGGGGGGGGGTGCCGGGGGTGGGCCGGCAGAGCTCGCGCGCCGCCGCCAGCTGACGCGGACTGGGGCGCGCTGGGGCGGCGCGCGCCTCTCCTGCCCCCGCCCCCCCCCCCCCCGCGCGTCCAGGGGGCCCGGCGCGAGGCTCTGCTGACGTCAGCGGGCGGTCGGCTGTGTGGGGTGCGCAGAGCCGCTGGCGCACTCGCGCGCTGCGCTCGCCCCCTCCCCCGCCCGGGCTGTGGCGCGCGCTTGATCTCCCCTTCATTTTTTCCCTCCCCTCCCTCCCAGCCTCGGTCTCTCGCTCCCTCTCTGCCCTGAGAGCTCCTGGCTGCCCGCGGCTCCCTTGCCCTCTCCTCGTCTTCGGTAGGCTCCACCGAGCGATGCGATCTCTGGGAGACAGCGACGCCGCCTCCCGCTAGAGACCTGCCCCCTGGGCCGGCCCCCTGCCCATCCCTGCCCAGCGCGCGGGGGTCGGTGAAGGCGCCGCGGACGCACCGGCGGTTGAGGATCGGCGATGCACATGCACTAGCAGCAGCCCCTAACTCACTCCTTCCACACCCCACGCCGCCTCCTCCTCCGGCAGCACTGGCAGAAGGACCCACCCTGCCCCCCACCCCACCCTCCGCGGGCTCCGGCTGCGGCTCCTGCCTCGACTATTATTTTATTTATTTTGGGTTGTGCACAAGCCTCCGTGCCTGCAGCCTGCGCCTCCTCGGACTGCGGGCGCCTCCTGCCTCGGCTCCCTAGCCCCAGACCCCGGCCACCCTCGCTTCAACACCCCCAGAGCCCAGCCAGCTGTCGCGAGTTTCCGCTGCTAGAATCTTGTCAGCAGCTGTCTTTTTGGGGGGTTCTGGTTTCCCGACATTTTTGTTTTCAGCCAAGGGGAAGATAGCGTGATTTTTTTCCCCCTTTGAGCCTAGGCTCTGCTCTCTGGGGGGGTGGGGGGGCGCGCCAAGCCGGGGAGCCTTGCTAGCCGAGTCGTGCGGGCTGTGGCAGGGAAGGGGCCACCATGGGATGTACTCTGAGCGCTGAGGAGAGAGCCGCCCTCGAGCGGAGCAAGGCGATTGAGAAAAACCTCAAAGAGGATGGCATCAGCGCCGCCAAAGACGTGAAATTACTCCTGCTGGGTAAGGACCGGGCTGCCACCCTTATCCCCCGACCCCAGCCACTCCGCATCCCCCCTCCGCCAGCTCTCCTCCGCTCCACTCGCGCTCGGGGAGACCTGGTCCCCGAGTTGGCACCACCATGTGCCAGGATCGCCCACCCCCTAGCATGCCTTACCCCTCTGCCCCCTACCGCGATCCCCTGAACTGACACTCACCAGTTTTTCCCCCGTCTGTCCCAACAGGGGCTGGAGAATCAGGAAAAAGCACCATTGTGAAGCAGATGAAGTAAGTCCCTGTGGCATTGGGATTTATACTTTTACTAAGAATATTTTTTAATCACTTGTATTACCCTGCTTACTCCACACTGCTCTCCAGGCCCGGTTTTTAATTCATGTACACACACACCTGGATTTGACTCCCCTCCCCCACTCTACGTTGATTCTGGGTCCCTCACCCTCAACTCCCGGGGTGGGTGTTTTGAGGGGATAGTGGGGGGAGGGACGGGGAGCGCCTGTAGTTGTATGAATGACAGTGTCCGCCATATTGATCAGAACATCACACTATTGGAATGATTATGATCATTACTCTTGCTTGTGGAGTGTTTCGTGCGTATGGCAGCCTCCATTTCTGTCTCTGTCCCTCCGTTTCATTCCCTCCCTCACTTTTCCTCCCCCCACCCCCCACTTCACATCCATAGTCCCCATTTCCCTTGTTCTTCTCCTGGGGCAGTGATTTTGAACTCGGTTAAAATATGGAGGGGACCCAGCCCTAGAGTGCTGGGGTGGAGGATCAAGTGTGTGCTGTTCATGGATTTGGTGCTGAATTGGAGGTTGTGGTTTCTGCCCCCCTCCCCTGAAAAAGAGAATGAGGATTAGAGGAAGGGGCGTGTGGTAGGGGAGGGGGTGGTTTTCTAAGTAGATGTGACTGGCACAGCTGTGTATCTGAGGCAGAGGTGGAAGGGGGACGCTGGCTCCGAGGCTGATTGCCCGCCCCTTGCTGCCCCCCTCCCTCCCCCACTCTCCCAGCGTTTGCTGTCCTGACACTGGCAGTTTTCGTTTGCTATGGCCTTTATCAGTGTATTTATTTACACTCTGCATAGGCCGTGTTCCGTGTAATCGACCCACAATGCGGATTTAAGGCCCCACTTGCCGCCTCCCCCTTCTGCCTTACATATCAGTTTCCCCTCCTAATTAACTGGGGGTGGATTTGAGTGATGGTGGAAAATTAAAACAAAATGAGATATTCCTTCCCTTGCGCACTTTCTCAATAAGAAGCCTCGCCCTCCTTCCCACTCTCAGGCTTGCTTCTTGCCCCATCCTCTAGGGCAGTTCCTGGTGAGCCCACAGGCAGCTTGCTTGGGGAGGGGGTGGCTTGCAGGGAAGGGGTGCACCCTCCGGAGCCTCCTGGCCCTGCTGCTTCCGTTGACCTGTCAGTTCCGGATGGCGGAGTTCATTAACACTATTTAGCGAGGATTCCACGTCGCTTTGCTGTGACACCTCCGAGCACACACAGCTCCTAATTAGGGGTTGCTGTGCGGTAAACAAAAATGATTATTTTTCAGCTTGACAGAATAGCTGAAGTAATTGCATCCCGTAGGAAAACAATGGAAAATAAAAACCCCTTTCGTGGAAGGGTGGGTGGGAGATGAAGCGTGCTTGCGGTTTCAGAAACAAGATGCAAAAATTCTTGCCTGTGTAACAGGCATGACAAGCGGGTTCTAGGCGGCGCCATGATGGTAGGGAGCAGCGACTTGGAGACAATTTCCCCCATCTGCTTAACATGTTTTATTTTTGTTCGAGAGGGCCCTGGGGCTTTCTTTTGCAAAGGCCCCCTCGGCTTGCCGCACCCCTCTGAGCCGCCGGTAATTTGGCCTGGGGCTTCTCTGGAGCTTGTGCAATCCAAATGCATAGGGAGGCGGAGCCTGGGGAATTGCTTTTTGCAACAAGGTGCATGTTGCATCCGCCGGGAGCCCTTGCAGGTCGATAAATGCAAGCACAGCCACCCTTTCTCCCCGAGGGGGACATTTTAAAACTTCAGTGTCTGTAATCTGCAGTGGCGGGCCCAGAGCCCTGTAGAAGCCCCAGCTACCGGAGCTGGGTGAGGTTTCAGGCGTTTTGAGTGGTGGACAGCGCCCAGCCGAGGCCAGAAAAGTCGATGAGGCTCAGCTAGGCGGCTGCGCTGGCTCAGCAAGGCTCGGCGCCGGCGGGGCGCAGGGCTCGGAGGGATTCGGCAGTGTTCGGAACCCAGTCGGGGCTGGGCGGAGAGAGCCGAGCTATTTCTTAGAGGGCCGAAGGCATTCGGAAATGCTCTGGGAGGAGGGAGTTGGATGCGGGAGTCGCGGGTGGTCTGCTTGAGTTTGCAAATTAACTTTGCATCTGCAAGATCAACTCCTTCCCTGTTTTTCTTAAACATGCCCCATAAATTAGATTTGTTTAATAAGTTTAAAAATATATACCGAGTCCCTCAAAGGGCGCCTAGCCTTTTTTATTCAAAGAGAGCTGAGTTCTCTGAGGAGGCAAATGTGCCATTTTAGAATGAAAATTCCTAGTTATGTACCGGGGCAGGAAATCTGAGATGAAGGCTGTATGTGGGCTTAAATGTAGACTTTGCCTGGAAAGTGTTACGTGTCTCGTTTTTTTTTTTTGGGGGGGGGGAGGGAGGAAGCCACACCAAGCTTTTGATGTTTGAGGTGGTTAAATCGGGTGTGTGAGCATGTCTTTTCTTTTTCCTGCACTTCCCCCTTGGTCACACCCCACGGGAAACCTTCTTGGAGAAAAATTTTAGATAAAACTGAGTTTCTGTAGGTAAATCTGTTATTATTTTTTAAAACACACACACACACACACATACACACACACACACCAACTCTCTTTAGGAAATAGTCTCGGTTTGCCCAAAAGGTCAGTCAGAGAGGGACCCTGGCGGCCTCTCCTCCTGAAGCATTCATGAATGGCAGCTCTCCCTGTTAGGTCCTCCAACTTGGCTTGAAATAAATCAGATCAGGGCCTTGTGCCAAGCTGGAGGCAGGACTTGTTTTATTAACCGCAAAATGTGAAATTGGTGTCACTGTATCCTAGTGACAAATTCTTTTGAGTCCTCCCTTGCAGAGATGATTTTGCTGATCACCCCTTGGCTGACAGCCACTTGAGTCAGGAGAGTTGTCCTGTGGGTGGGCCTGGGCCCGAAAATCCAGGTGGCATTTACAGAAAGCAGATTCGGACCTGCCTGTACAATATGCGATTGGTTCACCAACCTATCAAGCCATACATATGAGTTCATTAGGTTGCTATTTTATTTTACCTGGGCAGTTGAAATTAGAGAGTTCTCCTTGGGCGGTGCCCTGTGCGAACTTGATGGTTTCCTAATGGGGACTTCAGTTTAATAGCTCAGCCTGTGGGATTGAGAGAGAGAGAGAGAGTATGAATATTCAGACATCCCCATAGTCTTCTTAATCAGCATTTCCAGAGGGGCAAAGAGCCATTCCATTCAGCCCGTATGGCCATCCACGTTGTAGCGTGCTGATCAGGAGAAGGAACGGGCTTCCGTGTGTGCCTGTAATAGCTGAAGTTACACGAGAAGGGGCTGACTGGCATATGCTGCTTAGAACCGAGTGTCAACACCTGTGTCAGCCTAGGGTCATTGCAGAGTCCGACCTTTGGAATTATTTGGTTTGATGCGTGTCGTAGTGAGAAACTTGCATCCACTTCAGAGAGATCACAGATTGGACTCGTTTTTAAAGCCTGCTTCTTAGTACTTTACTAAACATTTCATGTCCACATAGCTTTCTGGTCTGTTTTGTTTTTTAATTTGTAGGTGTAGGTGATTGTGAACTAGTGTTGGGGAGGTCTGTGTCAGACTGTCTAAAACATTTTAGTCCCAAGAAGGGAAGGAATGATTGAAACGGCACGAGTGTGACTTCACACGCACCAGGAGCGACCAGCCTCCTTTGTGTGTGTTTGTGCCATTCTGAGTGATTTTGCTTATCTGGAGGTGGCGGCCTCCCCTGGTGCTACAACCTCACCGTGTTTGCAGTCGGTGGAACTCTTTTAGTTATTCAGACTAATCAAGATTTTACAAAGAATTAATTTTATTTAGTTACCAAAACCTTTACAAAGAAACCTCTTAGAGAATGATAATTTGCGACATGTGGAATGAACAGATTATCACTTCCAGCCACTTCTTGTTCTGCACAAACAGTGACCATGGCTTAGCCATCTCCCTGATGAAAATGGAGATGAACTGTGGGGTTGCCATGGACCCGCGGTATGCCCTCATTTTAGGTGCTGAGTCGTCTGTCCAGGATGTCTGTCTCTGGAGCATTAAGTGGGTTTTTAGGAAGATAAGAGAGTTTGAAAGTGTCAATGAGGCATGGCCTCCTAGCCGCTACGCTTTACATAAACAGACACCCTAAATGGAGCACCTCAATGTGTGTTCATTCCCCCGGGGCCTGCTCCATGCTGTTGTAAAAGAGATTTAAGGATTTGCCTGACAGAGACACTGGGCGCATCCAAATACCCCAGCCCTTCCTGTGGTATGCGATTCCCAGAACAGACCCCACCCTGTTAGGGAAGGCAGTCTTAAGATGTCACCTGCTGCCAAAAGTTGGTGGATTTCTCCTACCAGCTTACTGGGGTATTGCAATCAGGTGTCTACTGTTTGGCTTGGATGCCGGACAAGCTTGTGCTCTTTCAACACACCCCTGTTCAGCGCCTGCTAAGTGGTAGGCCCGAGTGGAGAGAGATGGCACCTTCCAGCCGTTACTCTGTGGAAGTGCACCTGTCTAAAAGCGCGTTCCCCACATGTCCCCAAAGGGTCCCATGTTGAGGCAGAGACCCGCTGACAGCCACCCTTCTAGACCCGAGGACATGTCATTTCCGCAGTCATTGTCTTGGCTGCTTTGCTCCCGCCCTTCCTCCCGTCTCCATGTTTATTCAAATGGGTGCTCTCTGGAGGCAGCATGAGTGTGAACAGAATGTCAGATCAAGGAGCAGATGAGTTCTCCTTTGCTGATGGATGGCGCTCTCTCTCCCTCCTTACTGTTCACTGAGCTGTAAATACCCGCAGGCCTTCCTGCCAGAGGAGGAACACACCATCCACCGGATCTCCTGGGGCATCAGCTATGGAACTTTGGAGCCTCGGGTACCTGTTGGATTCTGAAATGAAACATGTCTGCTCGTTGAACGTGTCGTTGCTGATTATATTAAATCGTGAGGATTCATGGGGGATTGACATGACTGAAAAGGAATCCAGAATTTCTGTTCTCTCTCTGTGGGGAAAGACTCGAT